GTTCGGGGCACACGAGGCCCCGTGCTGAGGGCGGGCCCGTTTTGGGGGCGTGGGCGCGGGTGGGTTGGGGGGGACGGGATGACCCCCGGTTTTGGGGGAGGAGGCTCGTTTTTGGGGTGCGTGGAGGAGCCCCCCGGGGGGTTCCGGGGTGGCAGCGCGGGAGGAAGGGCCCCCATGGGGGGGTGCAGCACTCGGGGTGCGATTTGGGGTTGGGGGCCCCCCCAGGGCAGGCAGAGGGGGCCGTGGCCAAACATGGAGGCCGCGACGGGGGGTGTCCAAGGAACCACCCGCAGATACCTCATTGGAGTCGGCCTAATGTTTATAAATACATATAGTACTTTTAAAAACCAAAATAGCCCCATCTCGGTTTAGGCTGTAGCTTTGCGCGCCGGGGAAACGCTCCCGTGCCGCGGTTAAGGCTGCGGTGACGCTGCGAGACGCGCCGGGTCCGCCAGCGCGGCCTGTGAAGCAGCCCTGATGTCACAGCAGGACGGAGCGGCGGGCCCCGGGATACCCGGCTCCCGTTCCCGGGCCGCAATCCCAGCGCCCGGAATGCGGCTCCGCTCCGCGCGCGTTGGGAGAGCGAGGGAAGTCATCCTGGACACTAGCCGTAGTCCCACGTAAACAAGACGGTCTTAATGGAGTGCTTATTGAGAAGGGAGTTGCTGCCGCTCCTCCTGAGTGCTTTTTTTAGCCAGTCGGATGTCATTAAAAGCCCCAAACGTATTTTGAGACGTGTCTTGAGTACTGAGCGGTGGTGGCGATGAGGATTGTCAGAGGAGTTTATTTAGGAAGATGTTTATCGCTGGTTTTGATGGCAGATGTGAATCCGTGCCTCTTAAAGTGATGTGAAAACTTCATCCTGCCTCTTTTCTGAGAAAGATCACAGGATTTTTCTACTCTGTAGGTTACAAAGAGTGTGAAAGGTCACATTAGTCCAAAGCTTTAGGAGGCCCCTTCATTAATTTATCAAGTTTTCATGTTTTTTTTTTCAGACTCACTTTTAGAAAACAAAATAAAAGGTAAATCACTAGGCTGCTAACTTTTTTTTCTCCTTTTTACCCCAATTTCCTTCAGGAAGAGGAGGCGGAATGGTAATGAAGATGATAGTCACATTCCTCAGACAAAACGTAGCAGCAGGAATACTGTCCTTCAGGACTCCTGGGACACTGAGGTGAGAGGCTTTTCAGGCAAAATGAATTTCTGTTAATGCTACCTTTAACTAATGTTGGGAATAGTCCATGAAATCTCATTCACAAAGAGCTGTTAATGAAAACACTTTGTTTTCTTTTGTGTGGTGTAATTCAAAGAATCTATACAATACCGTTTGGAAATCAGCATGTTTTCCAGTGAATGTGCCTGTCTCTTATTTGAATGATTCTGTTAACATAGTTCAGCTATTGATTTATAGTGCACAAAGTGAATACACAAGGAGGGCATTTGCTGCTGTTTTTAGTCCTCAAATGGAGTGTATCCAGAACCAAAGTGTCAACCCCAAGCACATGTGGTCCCCCTGCCTGGCTGCTCCTCCAGCTTAGCAATTAAAATGCACTTTCCCATTACAGTGCAGCCCTGATCCGTGTGATACCCAGAGTGCCCCTTTCAGTCGATACCATTTGTTTGCTCTCTGAAAACGCTCAGCGCTTTGAGCAAGACTTGCTCATTCGAAGCTGGAGGGCTTCAACTATCTGATTTCTGTTTGTCTTTGCTCCGATATTTTGTTGGACTGGGAGAGGTGCTCTGTGTAGGTGCAGTTTGCTGGCTTTGATAGATTATTTTTTTAAAAAATATAATGCTGATTTCCAAACTGTGCTGCCTCATTTCCTAAATTGTTCCAAATATTAATCATCTGTATATATGAAAAACGTGTAGTTTTCTAGTTAGCAGTGTGTCTTTCTCGCAATGTGATGACAAAGGAGCATGGAGTTGGTTCCTGCTTGGTGTCACTGGAAGTTAGTGAAATGCATTTCTTTCATTTAAAAAAAGAATAAGTAGCCTTCTCACTCTAAAGGCTGATTACAATGAGTAATTATGAAGTACTGCAGGTACACTGAGCTGTTAACCCTACTTGGATTGCACAAAACGTTGTGGACTACATAATTTTGATCAATATAGATATATATTTTCCTCTTGATAATGGCTTTGAAGTATACTTGCATTTAAAATGATAAGAGAATATATATCCTGTTACTCCTTTTGTCAAGTATTCTTGACAAGGGGACCAGTGCACCCTTAGAAGTGTCTGATGACAGTGACATTGTATGAAAAACGCTTTAACAGTTGGGATGTTCCTCATGAAAGTATCTGCTGTGTCAGAAAAACTCTCCTAGGTTTCTGGTACCCGTGTTACTGTTTTGCTAGCAGTAAGACTTGTTGGGTGACGTTGTTTGCTGCTTGCTATAACGGGTAGAACATGAAAGAGCTTCTTGCCATCTGACACTGAATCACTTGTCCAACAGGTTAAACACCTCTCCGTGTGTAGAGTAGTTAATGGCTAAACAAGCTTTATGGCGGGAGGAGGAAGAAGTTAGTATGGAACAAGGGATTGGAGTAGGAGTAAAGAAATTAAGGATATCAGGAAAAACTTAATGGTGAGTGGCAGAAGCACCTTTGCTTGTCATGTCAGCACTTGGCGTTTGGGCAAAGCCGCTGAGCTGCACAAGTGGGAGTAGTCGTAGAGCCCATGAATGACCTTAACCCTTCGCAGAGGCCACGAGTGTGAATGCCCTTAACCCTGTCCTTCAGCGCTGGTTTGTGTGGGTTGCCTGCGAGAGGAGCCCGGCGCCGCGGCCAGCGCAGCGCCCGTGGCTGCAGCTAACAGCAAGGCTAGCGCCTCGTGCATGCGCCTGTGCCGTCGACGTGTCTCTAACGTGTTAAACCCCGTGCACTTGCTGCCGAATCGCAGGAATGCAGGATGCAGGGCTGAAGAAAAATCAATGTGCCCTTTTTGCAGGGAACAAAATTCACAGCGTCATCTCCTGATGAATAGTGCTTTATTTTCTTCTTTTTCTTTTTGCTTGTTTCCTTGTAATGTTGGATAACTGCATCGAGCATGCCCAGAAGCTCGAGCCGTGAGTTAAATCCTGGTTGTTCCCATGTATCTTAAGGACTTCCTGTGCCACATGGAGAGTGTCTTGTCCTTATAGTGCACAAGTATTTCCGATTCATATCTCGTTGAAATTATTAGCCATTTATAACACTTATTTAGTTCCCTGATAGCTTGTCATTTACCGAGGCAGCTCTTGCGGATTAAAAATCCCCACTAGCTGTAAAATACTGCACAAAAAGTGTGTGCGGAGGGGAAACAGAGAGCATTTTATAACCTCAAGGAGCACCTGAAACTGCTTTTCATCCCAGGGCACCGCTATCCCTGCCTTTTGTGAAACACATTGACTGAAGTGCCTCTTTGTTTTGCCTTCTTTCACTTGAAACTTGGTGATTTTATCCACATTCAGCTTGATTTAGTTGAGAACTGAACCTCAGTATGAAAATTAGGCCTTTTTCTCCTTACTCTTCAAAGATGACAGTAACATGTTAAAAGGAAGGAGATTTTTGCTTTAGTGGCCACTCAAATGTAGGATGTTCAGTGAGGTTTTTCCCTCCGTTGCTTGTTTCCAGTCACACTGCTCACACCAGCTAGATTTTTTTGCAGAAGAGACTCCCCGTTTCCCCCATTGATTTCTCCTTTCACTCAGGGTATCTTTGACTCCTGGGGGAGTCAAGGCTGCGATTCCCTTGAGGATTTATCAGCTCTGTTTCCTTAAGGCACGTTTAGGAGTTTAGCAAAAGCCCTTCCTACTGTTAGTCATCTTGTACAGGGAGTTATGGGGAATCATAGATCCCACGGGATGCCTGCTCGAAGCTACGGGAGTGCAGAATGCCCTGCACAACCCCCAGAATCACCAGTTAAAAGCCCTTTGCACTGATTTTTTTCTTGGGAAGGAAGGGAGTCTTCAGCTTCTGGCTGGTTCCTTTCCTTCCTGAATAACCTTCTTCTGTAAAACCACATTTCCGAAGGTTCCTCTTTTGTTAATCTGGCTGAAGGCAGGATTCCCCAGAGCCCAGAAACCGGTGGGAACGGTTACTGATGCGGGACACAAAGCAGAGCTTTTGCCCAGCATTGCACCCCTGTCGTTCTATCAAACACAACCCTAGTGAGGACAGGTATTGCCGGTTTGAATTCTAATTAAAAATAGATTACTGAGCTTGAAGGCTTCAGAGGGGCCAGGACCGAGTGGCTCTTTCTCAAGTTCCTGCCATTAGTGACTGAGATGCTGCGTTACTCATCAGTGGCTTAGTTAACACATTAGTCTGGTCTTTTATTTGGAAGTTATTTTCAATTTTTCAAATTTTGCCACTGTGGAATATGATGCTTAGACGAGTTTGTGAGCCAGATAATAACCACTGAAGGAGCCCTGTCAATATTTAAGGTACTCACAAAGCCTCGTTTGGGCTTTTCCTTTGCCCTTTCGCCTCGAATCGTTGTTTCATTGTGTACGTAACTGTCGTTGCTGACGTGATGACTTTAAGGCTTCTTTTTTTGTCTAATTGTAGTCCAAATGCGTAACAGAATGTGCACCACAGCCTGGGGAAATGGTAGGTCTGCGACATGATTTGGGCCATAAGCGGGTTTCCCACGCTAGTGAATTCTTGCATTAGAGAAATGGAAATAAAGAGGGTCTGATGAACCACGTGTGTCAACAGCCTTAGGTGTAGGAAGCACGTCCCAGGACACAGCCTCTGATTTAAAAAAGAAGCAGAAATGCCGAAAATAATCCTTACTAACAGCTTGAAAATGTCTGTTAAAAGCAGTAATTCCTATGAGCTTCTCATGCCAATTTTTGCCTTGATTTTTCAGAAGGTGGCTGTAACGAAAAACAGTAAGGAGCACAGACTAAAAGGAAGCAGAGTGTCCTGTGCGGTGGGTTTCTCTCCAAGGCTGCTCTAGCTCGCAAAGCACAACCATGTTGCCTCTCAACATGCCGCTTTTTGCACAAAATGAGAACATTTTTTGCTGCAGCAGACGCCACTTAGCGCCTCCTCTCTGTCCTCGTGTGCTCTCCCTCTCCACTGTTGTAGCGCTAGGAAGAGTTGCTGGTTGCTCCTGTAGTTACATCTGTTGCTTTCCTGAGATTAGATTTTATTTTGGTTATTTTTTGTGCTTTACTTGCTAGCTGAATCTAACACGCAGCGTGGTTGCACAGTTCTCTTGCTAGGTGACAACAGTGTGACAACAGAACTAAAGCAGTTTTGGTATTTAGCAAAAAAAAAAAAAAAAAAAAACCCAAAACCCAAATGCATTTATTTTGTTTGTACAGTTGAATGCTCGTGACTGATTGTGCAATCAGTGCTGAGGGACTCGCAGTCTGGCATTGTGGTTCAGCTCAAATATTTATCCCGAGTGCCTTCTTGGGCCTTTCTTGCTGGCTGTTGCCAGACCTGCCAGGTGCAGTTTGCACCATCGCTCAGATTTTATCCGTATAAATAATCTTTATAATGAGGCTTCCTGGATGTGGTGCTAGTAAAATTTCTGGTGACTTTTTAAATTGGTCTTCCCTGCTGTGGCCACCACGCTTTGACTTCTGTGGTTTTAGTTTAACACTTAAAGATGTTGATCTGCTGTCGTTTGTGCTGGCTGCTTTTCTGCCTATTCGTCTCCTGGGAGGAAGTGGCCACTTGCTCGGTTTTGGGCACTTAAATCTCTGCAGCGCTGTCCTGAGCAGCGTGTCGCGCTGCAAGGAAGTATTGCAGCTGTAACTAATGGAAGCCTTTCCTTAGCAACCCCTAAAATGGTGTTAAACAGTTTTATGTCTTTGAAACACCAAAAATTTGTATTGAAACACCTAATCATGCCCTTCTAAACACTGCTGAATGAGCCCTGTCCTCTTACGTGAGCTAAATCATGAGTTCTGTTTTCTGCACATGGAAATATTTTGATGGCTGTCACTCTTCCACTGTTATGTCAAGCAAATTGGTATAGAAAACTACAAGTTAACCTTTCAATCCCAGCACGTTCTGGGGAAAAGGTAGTTATTTGTATATCAAGGTGTTCAAAGACTTAAAATGGATATCACGTTGCATTTATTTTTAACAGCCCGTTGCTTTGGATGCTTCAAGTCACACTTTAGAACCGTTGACTTCCACAAAGATGCTTTGCATGGTGCTTACCTAAGGAGTCTGCTGGAGCAGAACCCATGTGAAAAGCGGTGCAGCTGTAGGATGTCCTGCCTGCCTTTCCTGACACGTGCCATTCCGTGGGGATGTTCTTTATTTTCCAATTCTCGGATGGACTCAGCAAACTTCACTAGTGCTAATGTGGGTCATGGGGGCAGAACCGGTGGGTGTAAAACCCAATGTGCTCAGTGTGCTGGAGGTCGGCAAACCTCGGGGTGAGATCCTGCTCATCCCCTGCCCTCCTCAACGCTGCTCAGGTGCTGGCGAAATAACCGCAGCAAAAGCCCCCTTGGTGGATGTGCTTCATTCTGGTCATTGGGCTGAGCGAGGGCCTGACAATGTGGAAGGGGGGGGCTTATTACAACGTGCTAATTAACTGAGATGCTTTGTTGTAGACAGGAGCGAGAAGGTGGGTCACTTTGCTGTTAACGCTCCCTTTGTGTCTCCTAGTCCTCCAGCAGCGATAGCGGCAGCAGCAGCAGCAGTTGTAGTAGCAGTAGCATCAACAGCCCTGACAGAGCGAGCGGTCCCGACAGCAGCTTCACGCCGGGCATTGCAGGATCCAGCCCCGTCGCCTCCCAGCCCTTTCCCGAGCAGTCTGCACTAAGCCAAGGTCCGTACTTCCACATCAACCAGATCCTGAAGGAGGCACACTTCCACAGCCTACAGAGCCGCGGCCGCCCGCCCACATGATGAACCAGCAGTTCCTTGCCTTCTGTGAAGGGACAGCACTGTGTAGATTTGATATTTCAACTTAAAAGTTTGTTAAAATGGAATTGCACAAAACGCCTGTTGCCTTTTCAGTCTATATTTGAGAGAACAGGTTAACAGGAAATTGTTTACTTGTGGTTTGCTGCACTATTGCAATGCAAAGGGGGCTTTGAAGCAATTTTTATAGGATTCTTTTTGGGGTGGTCATAAAGAAGGTGTCAAGGTGAGACCGAGGAATCCACATCTGTATTATAGGATTGCATAATTAGTCCAATTCCAACTGACTGCCTAATCTGTTTGTTAGCAATTCGTTGCTTTATGTAAAGTTCTTTCAAACATTCATCTTCAGTTTTATAAGTATTTTTTAATTTCAATAAAATAGTAAAACAATTCTTTGGCAAAATAACTTTTTTAAAGGCATGATGCTAGTTAACTGAGCATTTGACTCGTTTTAGCTCTAAACAGCTGCAACTTTCCCCTAAGCCTAGTGTGTGAAGAGCCATATCTTGCTTGATCTTTACTACTATTCAAAAGAAAATGTGAAATTAGAGCCAGGAAAACTTAGGCACTTGTAGCCAAAATATCAGAGGCCCCTTGGCATCCTTTACCTAGCAGAGGTGTTATCTCTTGAGGGAAGCAGAGATTAGCCTGGAGAGGGGCCTTTGAACAGGGAACAAGTAGACTGTGTAGCTTACACGCCAGTTTCTAACTGTGAAATGTTTTCTATTAAGTTGTTTACTAATTTTCTTTAATTTGAGTTTAAGGTTAACAACTCCTAAGGAATAAGAAGTGAAAGAGCAGACAGTGTTTCAGGAGCCTGATTACAAAGACCATCCTGCCTGATGCCTGTTTTAAGTAGCGAGCTGTGACCTTGCTAAGGATGTAACAGTAGAAGTGCTACCGCACCCTGGTGAGACGAGTTGAAGATGAACGTAGACAAATGTGAGTTTTTTTTATTTTATTTTTTAATGGAATCACTTGGTCATGCCTGAAAGCCATCCCAGCTTGAAGAGGGAAGGGGCAGCTGTGTCGTCTTCCTCGACTACAAGCTGCCTGAACAAGGAGCCGGGACGGAACGTCTCGTCTTCTGCTCTTGGGAGCGCAGGAGGTGGAACCTGTATTTTTTATTTTTTTTTTAAGAGAGAGTCAGTAACTATTACCTTTGATTTTTACTTTTTTCCCCACATCTTCACCCGCAGTAGCTGCAGGGAGGCACAGACTGCAGTAGAACAGCCCGTCTCAGGCAAGTGGAGCCTGAACTAGGTTCTGTGGCTGCTGCTGTCCATGGTTAGTGACAGGCAGGACAGTGGCAGTTCTGAGTGGTATGAGCAGAGCTTCTTGCTGTTAGCAACAGTTAACTCCTCAGTGTCCTTCAGTGCTCAAAAATAACCATCCTCCATTGAAGGAGGGAAGAGGCTGCTGCTGTCAATGCAAGGGGGACAACAGAAGGCTTAAAGTCCAGCTCTAGCCTCAGTGTAGAGAGTTGTGCTTAACTAACTGTGGACTTTAACCTCTGCAGAACATTTTTAGCATAAAAGCAGTAAGCATCAGTCAGTAAGTCAGAGATGTGTGGCCAACACACAACATGTGGCTCACCACAGCCCTTGCTGCTGCCACAACAGGAGAGGGGAGCGGGAGGAGCGAGACGGACATCGCTACACACTTCTACAGTCTACTCCACCGTGGGTGGAAGAGGTAAAGAATACCTTAATTTTGAAGCTTCAGGCTTTTTTACTATCTTTATACAATGTCTAGATCTTAATGCTTCTGAACAGTGCAGAACAAGAGTTGCAGAGTAAAAGTTAGCATCTCAGGTAACGCTCTGCTCTGATAAAATCAGGTTTTTACTCTGCTGTTCCAGTTGAAAGGACATCAGCACAGATAGATACAGGCTGCTAATGGCTAAAGGAAACAGATTGCTCAAGAGCGTTTCCTGTAATAGTGAGGTATTCCGTGGCTCTGTCCTCAGCATGGGGAACTTCATCCAAGCAGCTATTTCAGACTGGGAAACGTGTAGCAATGTAGTGGTTGTCGGCTAATAAAGCTCAAACAGTGACTACACAAAGCGCTGGCAGGAGAAGCAAATCACTCAGTTCACACAGGCTTAAATACCCAAGTGAGGCCTCAGCAGGAGTTAAAGGTCAGCATCGGACTGGAAGGGAGTTCAAATAATTAGTATCCTTCAGCATTTCTTGTAGCCATCCTTAAATGAACCAAGTCTTTTATGCATTGATCTGAAAATGCCTCATCTGTGTAAGTTTTCACTGCGTTTTCATGGTGGTTATTGCCTATGTTTTATTGCGGAGCAGTGCACCAAGGAAAATCCAGGCGCCATCAGGGGATTTTGAGGGGCAAGAGGAAACCCAACCGATCTCATTCATGTGTTGCCATAATGGTTCTCTCATTTTAAAGAAAATAAAGAAACAGGTTAACTATTACTCTGGCTGCTTTCTTCTTTCCCTGCAAGTTACAGCCTAGGTGGGAGAAGGCGCACTGGTGGAAGGTTGATAGGGTTTTATTGCACCAACCTGAATTCCTTCTGTGTTTCTGGCAGCAGGTTTCGTCTTTCGTGAGCTGGACATGCTCAGTGGCAGAAGTCCAAATCTTAAGAAGGGATAAAGAAATGCCATGAGAGCAGGGAAGCACCCGTCCTAGAGCGCACGGCACCGATCCTAACTTACCTGATCTGGCTGGATGCTAAGGGCAGGATGTTGTGGAGCTCCTGGGAGCTCAGGGCACTGCTCCTGCTCGTGTATTGGTTCTCTGTCCCAGTTAACAAGCCGAAGAGAACCTGGAAGACACGAAGGAGCTGCTGCTATTTGGGGACACCTGTGCAGCTGAATGCCCCACTCCCCCAAATCTGCTGTATTTTTGGTACCATTCCAGAATACTTGTGATTAGTTGCTTAATTATCCCAGCTTCAAGTTGGAATATTGAGCCTCTGTCTTCACCCTCCTTAACTCTTGATTTTAATTGGTGCTGCTAGCTATTATCAGGGCTGAGTTCTAGGCCTATTTCAGTACTGCTTAACCCAATTAGTGTCACCCAGGCTCCTGTGAATCCTGTTAGACAAAGTTGAGCCAACTGCATGTGTGATTAGGGGTTATCTAGCCAGCTCAGCAAGCCGTGCTTATCTTCAGCTGCCTTGAAATGCGCCGTGTTCCTCAGTAAGTGCCAGCAGTTCTCCCTGGGCATTAGGCAGCTTGCAAACCCGGCAGCGCTGCCCTGTGCAGCCCCTGGCTGAGCTGCACTGCCTCCTGCCGCGCGCCTTGCTCGTCCTCAACTTACAGAGGTGCGCTGCACCAGCCGGTTGAGGTTGCTATTCAGGTGTGGAGTAAAAACATCCAAGTCAAATGGATCGATGTGTCCCTCCAGGAATTCAATGACCTTCTCAATCCTACAACCAGAGCAGGAGAGCCCTGTCAGTGTTACGTCCTAGAGGAGTAGGATACAAGAAGGAGCACGGCTGGTGAGGACAACGTGGCTTCATTTGTCTCCCGAAGCTCTGAAGTGCTTCCCCAAGAGGTGTCTACGCAAAACAGAACTTGCCCAGCAGAAGAGCAGCCATTTGAATGGTCCCCAGCTAGCACAAAGGCCGCTACTGCAGAGGATAAGTCAGCCTGTTGTTAGTCTTACAGAAGATGCCTCAGTCCCTAGACTGGGACATGGATGAGTTGTAGACTCTCACAAGGGAGCTAACCATCCTCTCCAGGAGGAACTGTTCTCCCTGGAGGTCCCTTCCTGCCCCATGGACACGCTGCATTGCAAGCAGAGGGCCCCGCTGCTGTTTCTGAGCTGTCAGCCTCAGAATCCCATCCCTCCTCCTGCATTCTGCGGATGAGCTTCGTGTCTGTGCAAGAAGTCAGAGACCAAAGCTCTGCAACGACAGGACAAACCTGTTCCCAGGGCAGAGCACCAAGGGCAGCGTCTGGGCTGCTCTTCAGGATATTCTGCTTGGCCCAGAGAAGCATTTCTGGAGATACTGCCCTGGCTGCTGCTACATTTAAAGAGTCTGGGGCCCCACAAGGTACTGCTGGGATGTGCAGCGCACCCAGAGTCGTGCTTGGTCCTGCTGGCTTTGGCTTCCTCACTCTTTGCCATCAGGATGATATTCAGGTACCGCAGATCATAGAGCAACTGCAGAGCTCTGTTCTGGGTCATGGGGAAGGTGCCTTCTCTCTGCAAAGAGGACAGGATAAAGACAGACCGTCTTTGACTCGCCCCGTACGCAGGGCTTTCAGAGGACCGCGCTGGGCTGAACATTTAACAGCACTGGCATCAAGAATCAACCGCACCACCTCAGCCATTCACAGCAGGTAACGTGGTGTCAGATCCACTCGATCGGCTCATTTTGGGGGAGAGGGGGTGGTGAAGAGGGATGAAGTCTCCCTCTCACAGTTCCTGTTCCTAAGGACGGGCATGGAAGTTACTGCCCCAGGACCCAGGAAGCCTCTCACCCCGTGGACCCCAGCGGGAGCAGCGCTGGGAGCAGCCTCTTGCACTCACGTACCTTCTCCCGCTTCCCTTCCACAAGCTTTCCATAGGCAGCAAGCAATTCCGTCATGCAGGTCTTGAGCAGCTCCTGCAAGGTGACTTTTGGAAGAGTGTGACCTCCAACGCGGTTCACCTCCTGGCACAGGCTGAAGAGGAAGCACTGAACGTACCAGGATGGCTGTTTGGAAAACAAGTAGGAAAGCAGTGTTTTCATGTGGTGTGTAAACTACAGAAGCTTTATCAAGGAGGAGACTTGTTTCCTCAGCAACCTCAGCTCTCTCCCACCAAAATCTATCTGCCTCCAGAGCTTGGCTTTTTTTTCCTTCAGAATAAGCAAAAATTGCCTTCTGAAGGTCACTACAAGAGACTGCTGCCTGTCCAGCCTCCCTCTTACTGACCAAAAGCCAAACTCGTTCCTGCCTTGACCCTCTTCCTCTGTGAAATCGCCACCTGCTTTACCAGGCTTGTGGTGAAGCTCCATCACAAGCATCACTCCTGCCATCCCCAGGAGCCTAAGGAATCTGCAGGCCTCACATTTCCTCTCAGGCTTTCCACAGTCCTGCCTTTCAGCGCGCTGAGTCTCCTTGTGTCCCCACAGCAGGTCAGCGTGCTTGGACCCCACACTTGGCTGTCACAGGGAAGGATGCTGGCTCCCCTAGTGCCCCGCGCGAGTGTTGAGTCTAGAGATACCACTTGCTAAATGACCTGCTAAATGCAGAGCTGAAGTCTGCCCAGGTGTAACAGCCTCAAAGCCATTCTCGCAAAAGAGCCAGGCTGGTGAGCGGGTGACAAAGCAGCGGCTTTGCAGAGCAATGCTCCTGTTTCTCTGCATGGGGAGAGGGTGTCTCTCGTACCTGCACAGGTAGCCGGATCTTGGACGTTACGCTGTTTCCAGACTCGGTCTCCTCCTGGATTTCAATTTCATCCCAGTTGGTGGCTGTGGCCAAGATGAAGCCTGCTGAGTCTAGCAGCAAGGTGTGGGCAAAGCTCTGCACCAGGGCCTAGGGCACACAGCACAGCAGCAGGCGGTCACGGCAGGGCTCAGCCCCCGTTCCTACCCCGCGAGGGCCGCCCCGTGGGAGCCCATCGAGCCCTGTGGGTGCTCGCACAGCAGCAGCTGAATGACAGCAACCCGCCCGGGAAACGCGTGATGGGAGAAGGAGCCCCTTACTTTGGTGACAGCCGAGCTCCATATCTGGTAAGCAGACAGGCTCTCCTGCAGGAGCTCTGCCTTCACTGCCTGCCACTCGGCCTGCCCAGGACTCAGTTCCTGCGCCTTCCCCTTGCCCAGCTTCTTGGCGGGGCGGCTTTCCAGCAGCGCTGCCTCGGCGCTGCCCAGGATGCAGCGCTTGAGGTGCGGGCAGAGCTGGCCCAGCGACTGGCAGAGCCTGGCCATGAAGAGGACGGCGGCGAGCGGGGCGGCCTCGTCGCGCGCGCGCCGCAGCTCCCGGCGCACGCAGCCCAGCACGCGGCGCACGCAGGCCACGCAGCGCTCGCGCAGCAGCCCCGCCACGGCGCCCGCGTCCGCGAAGCGGTCGAAGGCGGAGCGGCACGGAGCCGCCTCCTTGGCGGCCGCGGCGTCGCCGGGGAGGTAGGCCTGGAGGTCGTCCAGCTTGGCCTTCAGTTCGGAGTCGAGAGCCGAGCAGAAGCTCTGCACGCACGGCGTGAGTGCCTGCGCCTTCATGGAGAGGCCGCTGTGCGGGAGGTGGCTGCGGTTCGCCACGCTCACCCACGCGGCGTCCGGGGGCAGGTCGCTGGAGCTCTCCGACCACAGGAACAGCGCCACGTTGTGCTCAAACTGGAGGTGTTTGCTAGGGACTGAGGTGCTGGGCTTGCTTTCAAGCTCCTCCAGCGCCGAGATGAGAAGCTGCTCGGAGCTGCTTGAAATGGAATCAAATCCTTCTTTAGTCAGTGTCTGGAAGAGAACGAGAAAAAAGGCACCCTTTATTTGTGCTTCCCACAGCCCTATTGCTACTTAAGGGTGCAGCTAGGGCTGGCTCACAGACAGTAAAGGGCGGGCCTAGAGAAGACAGCTGCTGCAAACCTTGTGCATGAGGCTGAGCCCAGAGGTCCCCGTTTTCACCCCTGGGAAACCCACCTGCAACCTGTCCAGGAAGAGCTGCTGCAGCAAGTCCTCCCAGAAGGAAGCGGGTTTGTCCAAAAGGCGCCGGCACACGGTGTCCCAGTGCTGGCTCACGGCCTCGCTCGTGAGCAGCTCCCACACGGCGTCGCGGATCCCTGCGAGGCCTTTCAGGCTCTTCACGTAGACCAGCAGGTTGGTGATCCCAGCCTTGATGTCGTCATTGCACCTGCAGGCAAAGTTTCACTGCAGCCTCGCTCAGACACAGCCCCAGAGAAGGCAGGAGAGAATGCTGCAAGGTGGGGAAATTCTTAACATTTCAGTCAGAGGCTCCGCCTGGGAGAAACACCTGCTGAGGGTGCCCTTCCCTCTCCATGAGGCTGGGTGTCCCCCGGCTCCCCTGTGGCCAGCCAGCATGGACAAGCAGGGGGAACTCACGGGGTGCTCTGGCTTGTGCTGCTGGGGGAGTAACCCAGGGCCGACTGACAAGGCTGTTAAGGTGGGAGCAACAGCTGCCAGACTACTGTCTTCAGAGGGCAAAGCAGAGCAGGAAGGGGTGGAGCTGGGGTCTATGAAGGTGGCTTGCCTGCCTCCCCCCAGCATGGGGAAGGGCAGTGAGGAGGAGGAGGGAGCTGCTGGACCAGGAGCTGCAAGAGCCAGGTAAGGGAATTCCTTCTCCTTTATTCTCTGTGCTTATTTGCTGGTGGGTTCTTGCAGCATGCAGGATCTCCAAACAAGTATCGCTGTGGGGTCTGCCATGTCCAAGTGTCCTGGCTTTTAGGACAGCCCTGGGTGGTTTCTTGGTGTTTAACTGCAGGGGAGAGTGGACAGGGAGGCAAACGAAGGCCCTGCCTGTCTGGAGTGTGCAAGTTTTGGCTCTGCTTTGTGGGGCTGCTTTGGCTTGGGGACTTTGTGGTGTCGGGGAAAGTCCTACAAAGAGGCTGTTGCACAGAAGTGCTGCCACACTCACAGGGTGATCCACTGCTGCAGCGTGTCCCGGAGGTGGTCCTGGCTGATGGGGTGCGCCAGCGTCCGGAGCGACGGCTGGAATTCCACCACGGATGCGGGGAGGTAGCGGAACCAGCTGCTCAGCTTCACCTCGTCCTCCAGGATGCCGCCTGCCCCTGGAATAACAGGGATTAGGGGAATGGGCCCAGCACAGCGACAGCCTCTGCTTCACAAGCCTGGACCGTGGGCCCAGCACCGCTCACCTGCTGCCTGCTGGCCCGTGGTGCTCTCCAGCGTGGAGAAGAGCAAGCCGCAGGGCAGGGCTGGGTCTGAGGGAGCCCCTTCGGGCATGGTGTAGAAGAGGGCATGGGCCTGGTACAGCGTGGTCGTTAGCAGCTCCATCAGCGAACACACCTGCGCTTTGATCCCCGAGCCTGTGAAGAAATGCCTGTCAGTGGAGGCAGTCCGTGCACTAGACGGGAGCAGCCCTGCCCTTCAAGGCTGGTGAGCCTATGATCATACAGACTCGTTTCTAGCACAGGGCTGCACGACCCAGAACTCAGCTCGGCATCATCTGCTTCCCCAGCAAAGATGGGCTTGGCGTGGGCCCCTGTGCACTTAATTCAGCACTGTGGCAAAACGCTGCCAGCGTTGTCATCACCAGCCCTAGCCCTACCACAGCGGGTGCATCCCGGCCACCCTGAGCTTCACAGGAGCAATGCCCTGTGGCAGGGGCAAGGGGGGTTACCCAGCGTTAAGAAAGGAGGCGGCGCAGCTGTACAGACCATGGTGCGGCTGGTTGAGAAGCTGCTGGATAGCCGACTTTCTGGCCAGAAGGAAGTCGGCCAGGGCCTGGCGCGGAGAGCTGTCCTCCAGGAGCATGATGGAGCACAGGGCTTCTGCCACCGCCTGGTCCGACACGGCCCGGCACTTCAGCAGCGATTTGCTCTCCTGCAGGATGGTGGATCTGGCAGGGAAACGAGACAGGCGCTTGAGGAAAGAACTGTGGAGATTGACTGAGATAGGGAAACAAGATAGGCACTTGAGGAAGGAACTTTGAGGTATTCGGGTTTGCTTATGCGATACTCAGCAGAAATTACACTTAATAGTTCATTCCTTGCAGCAAAGCCTCTTGGTAACCCGTGAGCCCTCTGCAAGAACATTATGTTCTCTTTGTGTGCGAACAGGCTCTTGCACGGCGGGGGGGAAACTCCTGCCTGAGGGTGACAGAGGGCAGATCTCCTGGAAAGAAGAGTCCTGGGGAGAGCCTGAAGCGCCCTGCACCCTAATCGCTGGGTGTCATCCCAAGGGAGCAGCCCTGGGCAAGCCAGGGAGCGGTGTCCGAGCAGGAGGAAGGGGCTCCCCATGCCTCCCGTGCAGGACCACGGGGCAGCGCTCACCTGAAGTGGCTGGCGGCGGCCACGTGGCGCACGAGCACGGGGAAGCGGGCGAGCACGGGGCTGCAGCGCGAGGCGGCGGGCTCGAGCCGCAGCAGCGCGTGCAGGTGGCAGCAGAGCAGGTGGAGGCGGGTGGCGTGCAGGAGGCGCGAGGCCTCCATGGCGCCCCACACCTGCTCGGGCACCTCCAGCAGCAGCTTGATCTGCGCCGCGGTGCCGTAGAAGCGCTCCTGCGCGGCCCGCGGCGCCGGTGCGGCCTGCGGACACGGCTGCGCCTCGGTGTCTGTCCCCGGGGTCACCCGCCAGCCCTCTCGTGTCCCCTTCCCCATGGTGCCCAGGATGCTGCACCTCGGTGCCCACCCTGTCCCCCGTGTCACCCTGCAGCCCTCTCGTGTCCCCTTCCCCAGGGCGCCCACTCCCCCCATCCATGCTGGGCTTCCTGGTCCCCTCCCAGCACCCCCTGACCTGGGTCCCCCTTCCCTTGGGTGCTGGTCCCCCTGTCACCTCCCCACCCGTGTCGCCTATGGTGGAGGGGATGGGAGAAGCCCCCCTGTCACCCGCTGCCCCTCGGAGACCCCCGATCCGAGCCGTCCTCCCGCCGCGCCCGCTCCTCACCGCGGCCGGGGGCCCGGGCCGGGCGGCCCCGCCGCGCTGCAGCCCCCGCACGGCGCCCACGAGGCGCTCGGCGCTGAGCCGCATCTCGGCGATGGTGTCGGCGGCCTCGATGAGGTCCCGGTAGCGCTCGCCCACCATCTGCCGCAGCTCCTCGCGCTTCTGCTCGATGCCGGCGCGCAGCCGCCGCTCCACGGCGCGCAGCTCGGCCGCCGTGTGCGCCTCGAACAGCGCCTCGGCCTCGGCGCCCCGCAACGCCATAGCCGCCGCCGCCGCCATGACGGCCGCCCTCCTCCCGCCTCAGCCGCGCCGGCAGTGACGTGGCGCCGCCATCTTTGGGGCGGGCAGCGGCGCCGGCCGGCCCGCGGGGAAGGGGCGTGGCCTGAGGGCGAGCGCCGCCATGTTTGTGGCGGGCAGAGCGGCCGTTGCCATGGCAGCGCGGCCTGCGGTCTCCCCAAGCCCGCCTCTCTGCCTGGATTGTGTGGTGCTTTTTATTAAAACTGCTTTTTTTCTTCTTTTTATTTTTTTTCTTTTGTGCGTCTGCAGAGGCAGCGCTAGAGGGAGACAGCCATGCACTGGCTGCATTGCCAAACGCGCTGTTAAAATGCCTGGTTCGATGGGGTTTTATCCTCCCCGCGGGCTACAGCCGCTTTGTTTTGTGGCTTTCCCCCCAAAACGAGGGAAGTTCTGCTGAGCCCAGCGGGGTTTGCCCAGGCTGCCTTCTGCGAAGCCCCGCTGCACAGACATCTGCTCGGGAGTGCTTGTATACAGGCGTTCCCATGGGCTGCAGCTGCTCCGCGCGGCAGCTCCCGTGGGAATGGCTTTCCCACGAGAGCCTCGTCCCGTCTCCACTCCCTTCGTTTTCCAGGAAGTGATGGCGAGGAGCGGGACTGCGGCACGCTGCGCTTCCCTCCACACGGGCGGCTTTGTGGGAGCTTGTTTCCCATTCCCATAAAGCCCTGTCTGTGTTGGAAATCGCGGGAAAAGGAATGCATAGCTGCTTTGGAAAAAGGGGTTTATTCACCTGGGGATGCCCAGGTTTCTTTTCTAGTAATGACCGTGGATCCCATCTCATATCCATGCATCGGAAGAGTTGGTCCTGGGGGAGCCTGCGGGAAAGCTCACACATTCCTAGAACCAAGTCGCTTCCATTGCGATGTCCCCTCTGGAAAGCACCCCGGGAAGCCCTGCTCCCTTCCTCCCTGTGCTGGGGAAAGGGAGCGGGACTGGGGCTAGTTCTCGCCTGTAAACGAGCGGAGATGCTGCTGCCGTCGCCAAACCAGGGGCTGTCCCGGCGGGGGCTGCAGCTCCCGAGCTCCCGCTGCCTCTTGTCCTGCTCCCGCTGCCTTTGTCCCTGTTCTGCTCCGCTTGCTCCCCAGGGAGCTCTTTGCCCGGCATGTTCTCCGGCTGCGATCCATGTGCACCCTGGGCAAGCCTGGCACTTCCACACAGCTCCCTGGACCAGGATCACCCCATGGGAACAGCCCCGACCCAAACCGCCCCCCATCCCCGCTGCTCTCCCTGGCTCCAACACAGCACAGGAAGACAGAAATCGTAGGAAAACGGTTTTACTCCCCCCACCCTCCATTCCCATTCACCCCCCAGTAGATCGGGCGCTTGCGGGGTGGCCCGAAAGGAGCCAGGGCTGCACTGGAGCGGGAAGGGGCCGGTGCCGCCGGGCTCTGCAGGGTCCACGGTGCCGTGCCCGGGGCACGACCGCTATATACACTATATATTACAGGTGCATCCCAGCTGCAGGGATCCTTCCGGAGCCGGCGGGCGCACTCCAAAGCCGTCCCGGGAGCAGCTCTCCTCGCACCCCTGCCCCGAGAGGCTTTTCTTGCACATCCAGCGTGGGCACAAGTTCCCACTGAAACCAAGCGGCCGAGAAGGACAACCCAGTTCCTCCGGGCAGCGTGGGCACGGCTGGTGGTCGCGTTGGCGCCAGGGCTGCCCCGGCAGCGGGTTTTTTCTCGGCTGCTTTTGCTGCCAACGTGGAGAAGTGGCTGCGGATCCGCCCGGCTCGTGTCCCCGCGGAGGGGACCGGCGGCCGGGGGGCCTGGACGGGGCTCCATCCCCTGCCCGCGGCCAGGGCCTCTGCAGCAGCGTTTGCACCGCGGGGCCGGAGCTGCTGCTCCCGGTCTATCCGAGCCTGGTGCTTCCCGCCGGAGGGTGCCGGGGGCAGAGGGTTTCGTGCCCCCTCCCTGGCACCCTGTTCTCTCTGCACAATCTCTCCTCCGCCTCCCGCCGGGTGCAGCGACTCGAGCCCAGCTGACGCATCGCTGCAGCTGCGACGTGCAGCCCCGTCCGGGCGGGGGGCTGCAGCGGGCCCCGCCACCGCCACCCAATGTGTCACCGTAATGTGACACACAGTGGCCACAGGGCAGGGGCTGAGAGCCATGGACACGGCTCTGCCTGGCCAAACCAGGCTCGTGGTGCCGAGGAAGGGAGCTGCACAGGAGAGCTCCGGGGCCACATCCCCCCCAGCTTGGGGCTCTTCCTCCTCCCTCTCCCCTTTGCCCCGTGCGGTGCTGGGGTCCCATGGGAAGGACATGAGGACCCAAGTGCCGGCTCTGCCCGAGCTGCTGTTCCCACTGGCAGCCCCAGGGCAGGAGCCTGGCGCAGAGCCCGTCCTCCAGCCCACAGACCCAAGAGCCAGGAACGCCGTGTCCGTCTGCCCCCGGGAATGCTGTGATCCTCTCCCCCCAGAACACCGTGTCCATTTCCCCCCAGGAATGCCGTGTCCCACTGGAACACCATGTCTGTCTGTCCCTGGAACACTGTGTCCATCCCCCTGGGGCTCTCCCGCTCCAGTCGCCGCTCCAGGCTCGGCGCTGCCCCGGCTCCGCCGCCGCTCCGATGGCTCCCACGCATTCCCGAGCGGCTCAGCCCGCGGCAGGAGCCCGGCCGGCACTGGCACCCCCGGAGGCTCTGGCTCTGCCCCGGCGCGGCCGGAGCGCGGCCCCTCGCTGTTACCTGCGGCGGCTGCCCCGGCGCGGCCGGAGCGCGGCCCCGGCGCCTCCTTCCTCCGGGATCCACCGGCTCCTTCCTTGGTGGGGGAGCGTGCGGGGCCGGCCCGTCCTCCCTCTGCTCCGGCCCCTCCGGCCCCGTGATCCCCCCCGGGGCCCCACCACCCACCCGAGCCCCGCGTGCTCCCGGCTGCTCCAGCACTTCCCAGTGTTTTCCATCCAGGTGCCCGTCCCGGGAATCCTCAGCCTTCCCAGCCACGGCGCTCGGTACCTGCGGGTGCCGGGAAGGCAGCAGGCAGGACGGGGGCTGCTCCGGAGGGGGAAACGCTGCGAGGGGGGAGAAAACCCACGGGAGCGACGTTCCTGCAGGAGGGGCCGTGGAGAAGGGATTCTGTGGGAAGGGGCCGGGGCAGCGGCGCTGCGCGGGGCTGCATCCTCGGAGGCGATTCCCTCTTCCCAGGCGCGCGGCGTTCCCGGGGCGGGAAAGCCTTGGGGGAAGGAATGCAGCTGCCCCCCCTCCCCAGACACGGGGTCTTCCAGGGGCCGCTGCCGGCAGGGAAGCAGCTCCAGCACCGAGGCGATTCCCGGAGCAGGGCATCCCGCACGGAGCTCATCCTGCGGAGCCGCCCGGCAAAGCCGGAGCAGCCGCCCTCATCCCGCGGCCGCCCGCAGGTGTCCGCAGGCTCCTTGTGTCCCTGGCAAGGCGCCTTCTCCCGCATCCTTCCTGGGGCTTGCAAACCAACCTGCTCAGAGGAGCCAGCCCGGGTTTAGGACCCCCTGCCCACGGGTGGCACCCACCACCCTCCGGCTGGGCAGGGAAGAGCTGGCGCTCCCGCCCGGATGTGGCGCGTGCTGGGACTCTGCTGCAGAGTCAGGAGCACGCAGGAAGGGGAGCAAACGATGGACAAGCCCGTTGTCCTCTCAGATGCTGGTCTGCAGGTCTCCATTGAGCAGGGTCCTTTGGGTCTCCGTGGTCTCGTTCAGCCGGGATTTGTCCTGCTTGCTGTCGCTCCGGTCTGCGTCGTCCATGCCGCTCACCTTGACCAGGCAGAGGACGTTCTGGAAGCTCTTCTTGAAGTTGTCGGACAGGAAGGCGTACAGGATGGGGTTGGCACAGCTGTTGGCGTAACTGAGCACCACGACAAAGTCAAACATGCCCTTGAGGACGGGCGTGGGCACAATGAGGACCGACACGGAGGAGACGTTGAAGATGTAGAAGGGGAGCCAGCAGAAGATGAAGACAGCGACCACGATGGAGACCATCCTGGTGACTTTCTTCTCGGACTTTTTCCTCTTGGAAGAGCCCACTCTGATCCCCGAGGACTTGACTTTGATGATGATGAACAAGTAGCAAAGGCAGATAATGGTGAGAGGCACCAGGAAGCCCAGAATGAAGGCGTAGATGATGAAGCCCGTGTACCACGCGCCGGACTCTCCCGGCCAGATGATGGTACAGCTGCTCCTGCCATGATTTTGCTGCACCCCAGCATAAATCATGATGGGCATTATCACCAAAAGGGAGACCCCCCATACAGCCACGTTGATCAGTTTGGCTGTCCTAGGCCGCCTCCACTTGGCAGATTTAATGGGATGGACAACAGCCAGGTACCGGTCAACGCTCATGACCGTCAGGCAGAAGATACTGGTGAACTGGTTGATGCCATCCACGGTCATGACCACCCTGCAGATGGCTTTGCCGAAGGGCCAGTGAACCAGCGCAACCTGCATGGCCAGGAAGGGCAGCCCGAGCATGAAGAGCTCATCCGCGATGGCCAGGTTCAGGATGTAGATGTTGGTGATGGTCTTCATCTTGGCGTAGCGCAGGATGACGTATATCACCAGCGTGTTGCCACACAGCCCGATGATGCAGACCACGAAATAGATGAAGGTGAGGATGGCATTGCTGGTCAGGTCAAAATGGTGGCCCGTGGCATTCTGAGACGTGTTGGCAGGTGCCTCCACGGAGAAGCTGTCGAATGGGGAAGCCGAGGAGAACCAGAACTCGGTGGCGTTGGGCAGCTCCTCTGGCAGCTCCATGGCTCTGCTGCTGCCAGCCTTCAGAGGAGCCGGGATGTCATCCTCCCTCGTTCTGGGGGTGAAAGAGAAATTTCTAGAAATTGGAGAACAAAAGAGAAACGAAGAGATTCCTTGGGAAGCGTCTGGCCATCCTGCTGTCGAGCTCTGCCGGAGAACGTCCCCGGAGGAGCTGTCCCCATTCCACCTCCCGCGTCTCCGTCCTGCCGCGCAGCCGGTGCCGCGCGGAGCAGCGGGTCCCGATGGGAGGCTGCTCGTCCCGGCTCCGGCCGGGCCGGGGTCCCCCCGGCTCCTCCGGCGGGGGCGGCCGCGCGTCCCCGGTGCCTTATGGCAGGTGCCGCCGGTACCGGGCGCTCCCCCGGGGAAACCTTTATTGCCCGCAGAGAGCCCGGGAGAAGCCGGTGCTTCCCTTCCCGGACGGAGCCTGCTCCGGGGTGGAAAACCCGAGTCCTGACAGTTCCCGTGGAAAACGCGCTGGGAGGCAGGAAAAAATTCCCCGCTCGCGGGACGGAGCCCGCCCGAGCGCGCTGCGAGCGGCGGGG